TCAACATGGATACCACCACCACTACTCGTTAGCTGAAGAAACAGGGCCCCAGAGAGGCGAAGGAATTACCCAAGGACACACAGCGAGGTGGGATGTGGGATCCTCCAAGCCCAGATTCACTCTGCTGCTCCCAGCTGCTTTCTTCCTTGAAAGCCCGGATCTGGATGAAAGGTCCTTCCGCGAGTAAATGAATCCACATCATCAGAATAAAAAGTGAGCTTTCTAACATCTGAGATGGAAAACCATCTACGACAATAATCATTTTCCATGTGGGCCTGTCCGAGACCACCACCCACCGCCCATTCTAAAGGATTCTGTGCTAAGACTCTGCAGTGGTCCCAGAACTGGCAAATGCTTTCTGTAGTGGACTGAACGGTGCCCTCCTGCCCCAAATATGTGTCCATGTCCTAATCTGAAAACTTGTACAACTTTATATGGCAAAAGATGAGATTAAGTTAAGGATCGAGAGAGAAAGGGTTTATCCAGGATTAACCTGGTGGGCCCAAAAGACAATCATGTGTATCCTTACGAGAGAGGCAGAGGGAGTTTGGGGACAGCCACAGAGACGGCGATGTGAAGATGGAGGCAGGGACTGGAGTGATGTGGCTGTAATCCAAGGGATGCAGGACTGCGGGCAGCCCCCAGGAGCTGAAGGAGGCACGGGGCAGATGAGCCTCTGGAGGAAGCACGGCCCTGCCACCACCTATCGCAGACTTCTGGTATAATGCTGTGAGAGAATCAATTTGTGTTGTTTTAAGCCACCAAGTTGGTGGTGATTCATTACAGCAGCCACAGGAAACACACACCCTCCTAATATGCAAACATATCTGGCCAAGTCCCACCAGAGGCCAGCAATGATGTGGCACAGGGAGTGAGTTACGGTTTCCTGGAGTTTGTAGCAGGGTCTCTTAGTAACAAAAAATCCACAGATCCACTCTTACAGATGGAATTGGAAGATGCTCACTGTGAAAATAAACTCTTGAGGTAGGAAGAAATCAAACAGATGTAGAGAGGAAGGGCTGAAGGGCAAAGGCTTGGCCTGGCGTTTGAGGGACTAGAACTTGGACAGCAGGGACCACCACAAGTCCAGGGAGGAGGAGGTCCTCAAAGTATCAACCAAGTGTCACAGGGCAGGTAAGCTAGGTGATCATATTTTGAATTTCAGGAAGAGAGCTGCACTCAGGCTGGCTGACAGCAGGGGCTCCCCTTGCTCTTTTTCCGACCTCTGTAACAAGGGCATTGAGCTATACTCCAGCATGGCTGAATGGGTTAAGAAGGTCACCACCACCCTGGAAGTTGTGAGAACACATTCGGAAGCCTTACGGAAAGTTCCCATTCTTCCGCCTCTCCCAATATAGATGTTGAGTTGACCAACCTCATTCCTTCCTTCCTTTAACAGATATATATCGAGCACCCACTATATGCCTGGCACTAAACCAGGACCCTGGTATACAGCCGTGAACGTGAAAGCCACAATCCTGTCCTCCTGGAGGGCTCTCTAGAGAAATGGTTTTCAACTGCGGGTGATTCTGCTCCCCAGGAGACATCTGACAATGTCTGGTGACATTTCTGGTTGCCACAACTTGCAGGAGGAGGGTGCTTATCGCACCTAGTGGATGGAGGCCAGGGATGTTGATAAACATCCCACAGTGCACAGGACGGGCCCCCACAACTAAGAATTATCTAGCCCGAATGCCAAGGGTGCTGAGGTTGAGGGCCTACCTAAGCAGGCAACACCCGCTGACATGATAGTGGTTAATGGGCCAAAGGGGAGGGAAGACGGGGTCTGGAAGAGCACAGAGAAGGGAGATAGCATCCACCCTCGAGGGGTCAGGACCATCTTCCCAAAGAAAGTGATGTCTACGCTGAGACCTGAAGCATGAAGGGAAGTTTTCCAGGCAGGAAGAGCCAAAACACTTTTTGGTGCCTTAATGCTGCAGTACAGCTAAGAAGGAAAGTGAGTGAGTGGGTATGTGAGGCAGAGGAGTAGGTGGAGGAAACAAGGAAACCCTTTAAAAGGACTGTCCCATCACTTCTCTTTGGAAGGGGAAGCTGTCTTTATTGTGGGAAGCAGAAGAGCATGGGCTTGGAGTCAGATCTAGATTTAAGTCCCGGCCCCACCATCTCTTGACTGTGTGGCCTTGCAGAAGACATTCGAACTCTGAGTTCCTAAATCCATTTAGAATATAAAGCAGAGGGTGGTGGGGGGAGAATAATAGCCATCTCAGGCGGGAGTGTCAGGATGAAATGAGAAAATGCACATAAACGGCGTGGCAGTCTGCAACAAATAACGGATATTGTTCTTATTTGTGATTTCAAAGGTCACTCTGGGCCCAGTGTGCAAAATAAAATGAGGAAGGACAACCAGAAACACTCCTCCCTGGGAATACGAAGCAAAGCAAAAACAAAATACCGAGATTTTACAGAACAAAAACTAGCTTGAGCGAAGCAGAGTTTCCGAGGGGCTTTAAAGTCCTTGATGCGACACCGTGGTAACCTTAAGAAATAACAACGGCAACATGAACAGCTTCCGTGCCCACTGAAATCAGCATCCTTTGAAGGTGCAGATGTCCTAGATAAATGGTGCAACGCATCCATCCATCCGCCTAGTCAGCAAGAGACATGAAATTCAGTGGAAGCCGGAGGATGATCTTTATTGGGGCCCCTCCTCAGTGGTGATGAACTTGCACTCTTGCCAAGGTGCAGCCAAAACTCTTGGGTCCCACATACAGCAAAACTCCTCCATATACATCTCTAAGTGAATCACTTTGATCCAATTTTCTAAAAAGCTGCTTGCTCAGTAACTGCTCACTGCTAGAGAAAGCATTTCAATTTGACATCCTTGTATCTCTCCCCGTATGTGACTTTTAAGAAGTTAGGATACCTTCACATTGATGATCTTTAACTGGTAACCATGTGGTTTCATAAGTCCGCTCTTGGTGAACTAAGTCTCATTAACCAGAATTAAATCCTTTCTGCTTAATACTGTGAGAGGATGAGTAGGGTATATCAGTGTAACTGTTTTATAGCCAAAAAAGTGATACTTGCTCTATAACTGTGCTTTGCTTTCAGAAATGAACTACTGGTGATGGCAGTGTTAAATACTATGGGGAAAGATACACACGAAGAACCCCCTTTTATACTGGTTATCATCATTGCAAATGACACATTATATGAACCAGATACACAAGGTACACCAAACGGGCACTGACGGTGAGGGTAGGAGGATCAACCCCTCTTGGACTCAGAAGACTACTTTTTGGTATCTAAGTCACCACCCACCACCCATACACTAACCACATGTTCTTAAGTTCCAACTTGGGAATGCTTCTCTCGACAAAGGTCCAGTTTCCCTAGAGATAAAACCCAAATCACAGACACAAGTGACCAGCTTTTATCTGCACATACTAAGTTGCTTTTATTAATCCAGAACGGCATGCTACAGATACTGTACAGCATGAACATTTATTCATTACAAAAATGGCTTCCAAACCATTAAAAATGAACTTGGAATAAGAG